TATTGCATGCGCTCCACGTTTTTCATTTTCAATTTCATAGATTGTTTATAATGACTTTTGCTAAAATTTCAAAATCAAAAGTTATCAAAACAAATTCTATGGGACTGAGAAGTATTATTTTCTACTTTTTAGTCCATTTATAAAAGCGTTGTATATTAAAAAGTTTTTTTTATATTATTTATTTTTGTTTGTTTAGTGTCTACTATTTTTTTATAAAAGTTGTACAAAACATAAAAAAATACAAAATAATTAAAAATTCAAGCTTTTTAATTTGAATTTCTATACAAATTTTGTGTAAGCAAATTTATAGCTTATTAAATTTTACTATAACTCAGTGTAAGCTTATAGTTGCTAAAAATCCCAATGACTTAAATATATTTTTGCCGACTGTGTTGTGAATTTTCTTGCATAAAGAAAAATTGTGTAATGTGTAGAGATATAAAGAAGAGACATTGTGAAGTCGTGCTTAAACTATCGATACTATCGACAGTATCCCAGCTCTAATGCGCTGGGCTTACTTGGATCAAAATGCACTAGAAACTTTTCGGAAGTTAAGTGAGTCTTAATTTCGGCCAATGCATTATCACATTCTGTGGTCCACTGAAAACCACGCTTTTTCTCTAAACATTGGTATAAAGGTCTACATTTTGTTGCCATATTTGGTATAAACCTTGCGTAATAATTTACAGAACCTAACATACTGCGTAATTCAGATACATTCGCAGGCGGAAGAACTTTTTGTACCGCTTCAATTTTGTATTTTATCGGATGAATACCATTTTTATTAATGCGATAGCCTAAATATACAACTTCATCCTGTAAAAATTTACACTTTGTAAAATTTAGTTTTAAACCTGCATCATCTAATCTACGTAATACTTCTCGTAAACGTCTTACATGCTCTTCTTTATTAGCCGCGGTAATAATAATATCATCAATATAAACTACTGCGCCCGGAATTCCCATCAATAAAGCTGTTATTTTTCGTTGAAATGAAGCTGGCCCCGTGGACACGCCATACGGCAACCGTGTGTATTTAAACAAACCTAAATGTGTACTAATAACGACGTATTTTTGTGATTTTTCATCTATTGGCAATTGTTGATACGCTTCCGCTAAATCCAGTTTTGTGAACTGTTCGCCACCACGTAATTCGTAAAATACCGATTCGGGTCACGGAGATGGAAAATGATCTATTTCCAAAAATGGATTCAACGTGATTTTAAAATCACCACATACTCGAACTTGACCGCTTTCTTTTATTATAAATAAATAAATTATGGGGACTATTGGAGTTCCCCACTCACTATATTCAATTGGTACTAAAACTTTATTTTCAATTAAACGATCAATTTCTGCTTCCACTTTATTCCGCAAAGCAAAGGGAAGTTTACGTGGCAGTAGAAATTTTGGCTGTGTATTTGGCTTTACTTTTAATGACAACGTTCCGCGATTAAATAAACCGAAACCGTTTTTAAAAACTTCGTTCGCAAAGATTCAATGTGGGATTCATTAACCTTATTAATACATTTAATACTTTTATTTGAAACTTCTTCTGAAAATTTTAGTGGCCACATTTGTAAACCATACATCCACTCTCTACCTAAAATCGGATAACCACCTTTATTAATTACATACAGTTTTTGCTTTATATTTTGACGTTCAATATGAACAATAATTTTACCCTCCGCAGGTATTTGTTGATTGTTGTACGCACGTAAGGTGGCATCAACAGCTTGTAATGGAATGTGAAAAATTTTTTTTATAACATTATAATGAAATAACCTGAATCAGTTTCCATATTGATTGGTACATTATTTATACTAATAGTTTCAACCTGAGGTTCAATTATTGTATGCTTAATTTTGATTGGTTCAGCCATTTCACTATTTATTTGGGTTTCGTTAATTGCATGATGATAATCATAATTGTAACGCACTGCTATTTGCTAATTATCACTTACATGTTCATCGTTTTTATTACTATTATTATTACTAGCTAAACCATCTAAATTTTCACGTTCCTCAGGCTCTAGTGGACTTTGAACATTATTTATTCTTTGATCTGATTGGGAACACTTTTTGTTAGAACACATTTTGAAAATGTGACCTTTTTCACCATACTCGCTACAAAATTTGAACCTGAGAGAGCATTGGAAATTTTGATGGTTGTTTTTACCGCAACAAGTACACGTAACTCTCTCGCTCGCCTGTGTGTAACTTAACTGTCTGTAGTTATTGTTGTTATTATTTCGATTTGACCGCTGCTGCCGTTGAAGGTTATTCGTTCTCTTCGCTTGGCCCCTGTAGTGCTGCGACTTCCCGCGCTGGCCGTCATATAATGTTCTCACGTTATGTATTCCTGCTACCTTCTGCTCCGACTTCGACCGTTTTTGCCAATTCCGTTAATTCTTTCAACGATTTGCTAGACTCCATCAGCTCATACTTCATTAGCTTTCTGGAAACGCCCGAAATGAATTGATCTTTCAGCTGGGTATTTAGTTCGGATGATGAGAATTTACACGGTGTCGATAACGCTTTTAGAGCCGTTAAATAATCTTGAACACTTTCATTTGTCTTTTGCTTCCGTTCGCGGAAAACAAAACGTGCTGCATATTCACCTTTATCAGGGTCATACAATTCCATTAATTTTTTTTTCCAAATCCTCATTGATTAACTCAGTGTGAGGGCAGGACTAGGATGAATGTATTTGCATAAAAAAGCAAAAGTGTTTTGGGTAGGCGTCGGTGCCAATGATAACCATCAGTTACCACCTCTGCATGGTTGTAAGTCATGCAGAGTCCCTACGGCTTGTAGCGCTGTGGCTTTGCCGCTTAAACTCTGTAAGAGTTTTTGGGGGTGTGCGTCAAGCGGAGTGTTGAGCACCGGTTATTTATTTAACTTCAAAAATTGGGTAGGCGCTGTGGCCAATGGTAGCTCTTGTACCACCTCTGTATGCCGAAGGCAATACAGAGCCCCGTGAGACAACTCCGGGAGAGTTGTGATGCATCAAGCAAGTTTGTTGAGCATGATTTGGGGTGCCAGCAATTAACTACTTTAGTAGGTTTTGTTCTGCGGCAGTTGAGAAGTGCATAAAAAAATGCATACCCAGTGAAGAACGAGCGATTTATTTATAAACACAAGTGCGTGTGTTTATTCGCTGCACTTGGGTTTGGGCGGGAGTGCAATACAAGTACATGTGTGTGTTCGCTGTTCTTTGTTTATGCGGGAAATGCATAAGTCGCTTAAACACTCATACTTCATATCATTTAAAGCTTGTGGCTCGCATTCAGCTTTCAACTCTTTGTACACTTCTGGCGATAAAAGCGTTAATAATAATGTAGGCTTCTTGGCATCCGCGATGTCGTTTAGCATAACGTACGCGGAGAGTTGTTCTAAAAATTACCTTAACTCGCCTTTCTTTTTAAAAGGTTCAACATGTCCTAACAGCGACATTTTTTTATGCGTGCGTTTTGTGTCTTTAACAACTTCACTTTTCGAGTTTTCTAGATTGCCTTTTGTGTCACTCAAAGCATTTGCGTCGCTATTCTCGATACTTTTATCAGACGAATTATTTAACTGTTCTATATATTGTTTTCCGCGATAATTTTTTTAATACACTTTAATAATGATTTTCGTAAATGTTCAACTGCGAAACTTTCGTCAGCGAGAATGTGAAAATATGCACAGACTTGCACCAGGTTAGCTTTACTCAAAGTATTTATCCACGAGGTGTGTTTCAACGAAATTTCGTTATGTATGAAATCCCAGTTCCCACCAGTCATTTAAACTTCACTATTCGATTTTTATCAATTTATTTCCGCTTTTAACCCTCGTCGCCATTTGCTATATTTTCATCAAGTCAAATAATCAAATCCCGTCTGAGTTTAGTAAGCACACGTTTATTTAGATTAAAGCTGCCGAGGTTAATTAGCCGGCATGTAGGTTAGACTCCATCAGAGAGACTGATAATATATTACAAGCGAGGGCAGCAGTGCTGCCTAATTTGTTATCGGAAGGTGCGTTCGCGTACCGTACGAGCCGGCATTACAAGTTATCGCAACTTCGTGGACCCCTATTTACAACTCATGGACCCCCATATTTTTTCACATCACCGTGGCCCCCGTCGAGTCTTCCGTGGACCCTGGGGGTCCACCTGGACCACTTTGGGAATCACTGCCATATACGGTGTGATAGCAAACCGTTTCGCTCGGCCGCTACGCAAGTGATATATGTCACCGAAGTGCCGCTGTCGTGAAAGAGTGCACAGTTTTCATCGCTTCCTACCAATTCCCACGTAATCAGCATGTCGGTGTCGCTTTCATATCGTATCGCTTATCGCGTCGCCTATCGTATCGCGTATCGTATCGGTCTAATGTGCACCATGCCTTACTGTCAAAACTGTAAATATAGCAACACTGCCTGTATATGTAGTATCATACATGTATTTAAAGATCTCATAAGTTTGATTTTTCCTTTCAAATTTAATAAAACAATGATGTCTCCAAATACCATAATTCGCATATTTTTCAGATGAAATTGCCAGTCATATTAGAAAATGTTGCATAAGCGGTATTCAGTACGCTAGTAAGCAATATAACTGTGAGAAATACGATTACGAAGTGGCCACAATACCGCCATTGTGGCGTGGTCTCTGCCATTCGACTTATGGCGTCTGCTGCTCCCGCAAGCTGGAAGAGCAATATTGCGTAGCCGGCCGCCTTGCTGCTTTGAAGGGCTCACGCTGCGATGAGCAATACAATACCACCGCCTTTCCTGAATGCTGTCGCGCCTGCCAGGTGGGACTGGCCGTCAAGGCCAGTAATAATGATTGTGACAACGCACTCTTCTCATATTTCCATAAAATGGAAACATATAACATTTGCTGCGACGGAAAAACAAGAAACAAATATTCCGGCGCCATTATAATTGATGACAATGTCGCCGGGCGTTCATTCAAAGAAAAAACAAACCAGCTGAAAAGCGAAGCCAGCAATTACTTAAATGGCTCAGAGGAAGAAGCACAGACGAATATAGGCGACGAATTGATTGCCAATGGCAGTGATGGAACAATCGTACTGCCAGGAGATGATGGTAAGTAAAGCAAATAAGTATGTATGTGAATCTCATAACACCTTGCGAGGTTCCATTTGCATGTCTGTTCAGATGACATATGCGGCAAAGTGCCGAATCTGTGTGCCCAAATTTGTGAGAATACTAAGGAGGCGTATCGCTGCAAATGCAACCCTGGTTATAAGTTGGATGAGAATAATGTCACTTGTTCCCGTATCAACAACGGTAATAACATTTTAGTAAATTGCTAATATAATCAAACGATTCTGATATAATCTAATATAACCTGTCCTTATTTAATCGAATCTAATATAATCAAATATATTTACATACATAATCAAAATTTAATAGACCCCGATGTAGAAATCAACGCTGACAACGAACTAGTTGACGAGGAGGAGGAAGTGATTGATGACGATGGCGACGGGGATAGTATTGCCGTCTTGGAATCGGAATTAAAAGGCGATGAACACAAGCAAATTTCGAAAGCGGGCTCTGCTAACAAGGATGACTCGATGAAGTGCAGCAGTGGCTATGAATTCGACTACACCAAAGGAAAATGCACTGATATTAATGAGTGCGCCAATAAGTTGGACGACTGCAAAAGTAGTCAATATTGTCATAATACAGTCGGTGGCTATCACTGTTTGAGTGTGAATTCGAAGAAGTGCGACCCGGACAAGGAGAAATGTGAAAACGAATGCAACGCCGGTTACCACTATAAAGATGAAGACTGTGTTGATATCGACGAGTGTGCAGTGGATGTGTTTGCGTGTGACAGCAGTCAGGTGTGTAGCAATGACAACGGCGGATATCGCTGTGATTGCAAATTAGGGTTTAATTTGGATACTACCACAAACGCTTGCATTGGTGAGTGCAAACACAAATTTTTTAAACCAAAAACTTGTCATAAATATTTCGGATGAATTGAAAACTATGCGCAATTTTATGTTAATGCATGTCCCATTTTGAGTGTTTTAAAACTGTACTTAAATTTGTGACATTTCAATACAATATATGCATAGTAATTTAAGAACTGGAAAAGAACTTATAAAATTTTAAACTGGTCACAAATTTACGGTAATTAAAAATATCGACACATTTTTCTCTAAATACAGTTTTGAAAATTAAAAACTGGTATTAACCTTTTTTTTATTTTAAAACGGATCATTGCAAATGTGGACATAAATATTTGGTGATTTATGTAAACTTTTAGCTTTTAAACTCTGAGTTAAGGAATGTTTCATCCATCTACATTTCTCAGATATAAATGAGTGCTCGATTAACAACCATAATTGCCTTCCGACGCAACGTTGCGATAACACATACGGGTCGTATGTCTGCGTGCGACTTCAAAGCTGCGGTACTGGCTACACTCTAAACGCCGGAACAGGGAATTGCGACGGTGAGGAAATCTGCTTTTACTAAGCTGTCTGATTATATGTTAACCTAACCGGGCCTATTTTTGTAAGTTTGGTCATTTACGCCTACTTTTTCTTGTTTTTTTTTTAGATGATGATGAGTGCGCCTTAGGTACCCACAACTGTCCAGCGGATTACGAGTGTCATAACACGAAAGGTTCATTCCGCTGTTACCGCCATATGCCGTCGACCGTACGAGCCACAACAACAATAAGGACGACTACAACAACATCTACTCCGACGACACCCGTCAGTGGCTTATCTCCCTATAACTATCGAAACCGAACGGCTTACAGTTATCCGAACAATTACGCTTCGCATCTGACACACAGCCAAACTTATTTGCGTGAGAATTCACCGCGCTATATCGGGATTACAGAAGCTGTTAATAAACCTTCACCGCCTCCATGCGGCATAGGCTTCCATCGCAACCATTTGGGCGCTTGCGTAGGTAAGTACATCTGTACTTAAAGCACATACTCGTAATGCGGAACTGCAGAACTTAGGCCGCTGAGCAATAGGAAATTCACATAGTGACACCAACCTGTTCTAGGCAATACCAGAATTTCGTAATGCACTTTCCAGTCCATTACTGTAATATTCTCGGCTTCCTGTAACTAACCGTTGGCCTCTTGGGTACCCGAAGGCTACAAACAGATTCCACTATTTGTGAGAACAGAACCAGGGACCGAACGTAACATTTATTCATGAAAACTGTCATTGAAAAATTCACTATGAAGGAAATGTTCTACAACTAAGTAAGTGATACATACCAATCGATTTATTTTTTTGCCGAGAATCAAATTTTAAAATACATTTTTATTTGTAATTTTTATGCAAAATTAAAAAAATAACAATTATTTTTGATATATCTTTTATAAATCCAAAATAACAATTATTTTTGATTATTATATAAATAACACAGTTCGACAAATTTCGGCCTTCTTTACCACCTGAGTAAAACACGTCGTTTGTTTGTTTGTTTATTTGGAAACTTCATCCTAGCACAACAATTGTAAATTAAAAATATTTAGTTAAGAAACATAAAAAACATTAATAACTATTAAAAATATATAGAAATCGAATCTTTTAAGCCTTCACAATTTTGGATAGAATTGACAGAGCCACACGATTACGCATTTTCACAAAATCGTGTCAAACTTAGGTTTCGATCGATCCTAGTTTTATTTGTGCCAAAAAGGTAGCAACAAGAACCATATAAATCTGTACAAATGTACCCCTCGTGTGAAGCGGCCTCGACAGTATAGTATAGTATGGTATAACGAACGTACAAGAGGAACATACATACAATTTATACATACATATTTAGAATTAACTATAGTAGAAACTGGTTAACTTATTTTTGAAACGCAGTGCATTGTTGATTGACCTTATTCTAATAGGTAGTGAGTTCCAAAGACGGATAGAGTTAATGAAAAATTTACGTTCCGATATTTGAATTCGATGTTTAGGAAGGACTAGCAGCACTGACCTCGTAGACTGAAAGAATTGGAGTCTTCGATATAAATATTCCAGTTCCTCTGTCTTACTTTTAGCAAATTTACAAAGGGATGTTGAGCAACCTCTCAGCATGATCAGACACGCGGTCAAGTCTACTTAGCCCAAACACATATCTAGCAATGTTGTTGTAAGCAATATTTAGTTTTCTTTTACAGGCACAGGCACAATTAGCATAAATCCCACAACCGTACAGGAGCGTAGGTATTAAGTATGCTTCAGCCAAAAGTAGTCGAATGTTTAAAGGTGTGAGGTACTGTGTTAACCAGAGTGTACGGAGCATACCATACTATTTTCCTGCTGCGCTAAAAATGTATTTTTTTTTCATGTCAATGTTTTGTTAAAGACTACTCCAAGATTCTTGACCGTGTCGACGTATTCAATTACTTAATTGTCCAAAGTGATCTTATCTAGGCCATCAGAGGCAATAGATTTTCTATGAATGATGATACATTTCGATTTGACAGGGTTAACACATAAGCCGTTCATAGAAGCCCATTACCCTATTTGGGTTAAGTCATAGTTCAAATCTTTGATACACATACTAATACGATCAGGGGGACAGCAAACATATAATTGGACGTCATCAGCATAATATGTGGGCATTACAATATTTAAGGACGTTAGGCAAATCATTGACGTACAAAACTAATAACAAAGGTCTCAGGATTGAACCCTGGACCCCACTAGCTACGGCTAGGAAATCAGAATACTTGCTACCAATACTCAATGCCTGAGTTCTGCCGCTGAGATAAGATCTGATCAGTGTGCATGCTGGACCAGAGAAGTTAAATAAGTTATCCACCTTTTTACATAATATCATGAGGTCCACTGAGTCAAAGCCCTTTGAATTATCATCAATTTGCGATCGAATACTTTCGATTACGTGCAAGAGTGCTGTTGTATAGCTCCTTTTAGATCTAAAGCCCGATTGGTGGTCTGTGTGAAGTCTGTTGTGTTGCACATAATAAATAATTTGTTCATGTAAAATGCGCTCTACCACTTTTGATAGAAAGGGAAGAATAGCTATTGGTCGATAATCGTTAACGTCGACACTGGTGGTCAAAATTGAGTTGACGAAGTAAGTCACGTGCGGTAGAATTTTATGTAGTACTAACAGACCCTGCGAACTTCGTCCCGCCCAAAATTATTTTTTTTTATTGAAACGTTTGGATAAACGTTTTCGCTAGCAATTCACGTTCACGTTTGGTTTTGTGGTCGACAGAAGGCATATCCTCCATTGCCGTCTAAAATACCTGACGAAGGCGTTATACCAGGAAGAAGTCCTTGCGGCTCGATGGTGAACCGTCCTTGAATCTGTATAGTATATTTGGTAGCAATTTCCAAACTGGTGAGTATCTTTGGTCCACATTCTGTTTGGTCACCATAAAGCAAGGACCGTAATGGTTCTGATGGTTGATTTAACGGGGGTATTTTGACTTTTGAATAACTCGGCTCCAACGCCACCTTGCACATCTTTTTTTTGCAATAGTATTGCCCCTATCGTTACCAATATATATATATATCTCGAATATGAGTCAAATCGGATCACAAATACGATTTTGAGTAATAACTCGACTTCAGCGCCACCTGGCGGTTTAAGTTGAAACTTAAACTATACAGGGACCTACCCAAACGCATAAAAAAATGTCGCTAAACCCGTTTCGGTCGTTTAGGAGGAGTTCACCCACCAGAATAAGTCTTTTACGTACCGACACTCTTCAGAATTTTTTCCCATACAAAAAAAAAACTGTCACGCATTCGTTATACGGAAAAAATTCGCAACATCATCAGCGAAAAAGTTCGGTAACTTATAGCCATTTAAAACTTGCAATTTATGATACTGAAATTGAGTGAACTACAAAACTGCATACTCTAAATTTGGTGCCAATTGATGCAAAATGAACTATATTTCTATAAAAAATAAACAAAAAAATTTATCTTTTCCAGTAGCACGAAATCTCTATACCGATCTGCAGGACACTACCCCAAATACTTATTTATTTATTTATTTATTTATTTATTTATTACGGCTCAAAGCCTAATTCAAAATACAATTTACACTATCCTATCTTATAGGTAAAGTTTTACAAAATTCATATAATTTTGCCTTAAAAACTAAGATTTCATTGCAGTTTTTAATTTCCAATGGGAGCTCGTTGTAGCCTTTTAGGCCTTTGTAGAAAATATTTTGCTTATCTATTTCTGTTCGAAACAATGGCAATTTGAAATTATGTCTATTCCTAGTATTTATATTGTGTGTTTGCTCCACTAAAACTACGTTGTTACTTAAATACTCAGGTACATTTCCATGTTTTATATTAAATATCAACTTCATGGTGTGAAAGTAAATTTTTTGTTTGACACTCAACCAGTTCAACTTTTTTAACATATCACCCGTTCTAGCATCTCTACGTTTTTTAAGAATAAACCTCATGCATCTGTTTTGAAGCTTTTGTAGTTTATCAATTTCTTTGTCTGCTATTATGAATAGGATCGATGGGCAATACACAAAGTGTGGTTCAATGACCGATTTATAAATAATTATTTTATATTTTTCTTGTATATACTTGGTAGTTCTCTGCACAACCCCAATCTTTTTCGCGACTTTCTCCACTATGTAGTTTATATGTTCTTCAAATTTAAGTTTGTTATCAATTATAATTCCTAAATATTTTATGCTATTAACTTTTTGTATGCTTTCATTATTTATTTTTAGCCCACTTAAGTCTTCATCATTAATATTTTTCCTAGTTATCACCATATATTTCGTTTTATTTATGTTAAGCTTTAGCCTATTCGCGCATAGCCATGTGTATAAGTTATTAAGATCATTTTGCATTTTTGTTACCGCAGTAGTAATATTATCATCACTGATCATAAGTAATGCATCATCTGCAAATAGTTTGATCTCACAGTCTTGTATTACATTTATTATATCATTTATATATATGAGGAACAGTATTGGTGCTAGCACCGAGCCTTGTGGTAAGCCTATGGGCACTTCCAATTCGTCCGATATCGCTGTTTTTATAACTGTTCGCTGTTTCCTATGCTTTAAATAACTGCGAAACCACGCAAGCTCTATGTCTTTAATACCGATTTGTTGAAGCTTTTTGATAAGTATTTCCCTGTCTACCGTTTCGAAGGCTCTTTTAAGGTCAAGAAAGACAGCAACCACCACTTTCTTATTATTTAGGTCGTCTTTCCACTCCGATATCACAAAGTTAAGAGCTGTTTCGCACGAATGTTTTTTTCCTAAAACCCGACTGTTGACTGACAAGTATTTTGTTTGAATCTAGATGTTTTACCAATTGATTCTTAACATACACCTCAAGAATTTTAGCATCACTTGGTATGGTATTTATGGGTCTGAGCTCTTCTGGTTGTATTGTCTTTTTGACTTTTTCAACTGGGATCACCGTTGACATTTTCCACTTTTCTGGTACAATACCATCTTCCAAACTGCTATTTATTATTTGGGCGTAGAAATACCCTGTATACATTATAGAGTCTTTTATTACACCGTCAGACAGAATTTTTCTACCGCCTATTTTGTATTTAAAATCTTGCAGGATTTTTATAACTTCATCGGTTGTAATTTTTGCAAACTTAAATTCGGAATTGGCGTGACTACCACTTAGTGTTATATCGAAATATTCTATAATATTATTTATTTCTATCACACTATTTATAAAAAACTTGTTAAGTCCATTTGCCAAAGCAAGATCATCTTCTACCAATATACCATCGATTACCGCTTTATTAATACCTTCCTTATCACGCGCCAAGCAGACCGTGGATTTAAGGTACTTCCACATTTCTTTGGCGTTGTTTTCATTCATTATGACTTTATTTTCCATGTATTTAATTTTCTTTATTTTAACCAGGTTTTTATACATTTTATTAATATTTTTGTATTCATCCCACAAT